CCCGAAACCTTTCAGCTAGAGTTACAAAACCGTTTTCAGTGCCTAGAAGATTGCAATGAAGTGGACGATATGAATGACAAACTCGTGGAAACTGTCCATGCGGTCGAAGCTAAGTTTTGCAAGACCCGCCGCAGAAGAACACAAAAACTCACCGATCACACTCTCAATCTCATGGCTGTTAGACGGGAGATGAAGCTACATTCTTCAACACATTTTACAGCATACAGGCAACTGAACAGACAGATCTCCAAATGCATGCGGCGGGACTTACGCAACTTCAATACAGCTTGTATTGAAGAAGTGATCGAGCGGAACCAAGGCTCCAAAGTCTTTGTCAGAGATCTGTCTGCCAGAAAGACCCAACTGTCGAAGCTGAAGACCGAGAGTGGCAGCATCGTTTCCGGGGCACCTGAGATTTTGAGTGAGTTTGAGAGGTTCTATGAGCAGCACACGCAAATGTGAGTAACGATCCAAGAGCGAGTCTTATCCGACACTATTCCGAAGATATCCCGGACGTCAGTCTGAGCGAGATTAGAATGGCTCTCCAGCACCTTAAAAACGACAAGGCCCCAGGCGAGGATGGAATTACAGTGGAGCTTCTGAAAGCGGATGGAAGAACGGTACTTGAAGTCCTTCAGAAGCTCTTTAATTCCATCCTCCTTGGTGGAATTACACAGGAGGCATGGAGCAGTAGTGCAGTGGTCTTGTTCTTCAAGAAAGGCGACAACGCTCTCTTGAAAAACTATGGAACGATTTTCTTTCTGAGCCGCGTCTACGTGCTGTTTTCGAGAGTCATTACGAATCGTCTCGCGCAGACTTGATGACTTCCAGCCTCCCGAACAAGCCGGTTTCCGAAAGGGCTTTAGCACCATAGACCACATACATACCCTTCGGCAAATTGCCACTATGTCTGGCGTATGTGGACTATGAGAAAGCCTTTGATTCCGTCGAAATTTGGGTGGTGTTGCAGTCCCTTCAGCGGTGCCAAGTTGACTGTCGGTATATCGAAGTGCTGAAGTGTTTGTACAGTAGAGCTACGATGGCTATCGTAGTACAGAACCAGAGTACGAAACCTATTCATTTGCAGAGAAGTGTAAGACAGGGCGACGTTATATCCCCGAAACTCTTCACCGCTGCATTGGAAGACGTTTTCAAGCTTCTGGACTGGAAGGGATACGGTATTAACATCAATGGCGAGTACATCAGTCACCTTCGATTTGCCGATGATATAGTCCTTATGGCAGAATCGCTGGAGGACCTAAGCACCATGATCAATGACCTCAATAGTGTCTCCCAACGAATAGGTCTTTGGATGAACATGGACAAAACAAAGATCATGTTTAATGTCCATGTCACACCTATGCCGGTAGTTGTTGGAAGCACTAAGCTCGAAGTTGTTGACGAGTATGTTTACCAAATAGTCCGACTAGGTAAGTCCAACTTCGACCGAGAGGTCAATCGACGGATTCAACTCGGCTGGGCAGCGTTCGGGAAACTACGACACATCTTCACGTCAGACATACCTCAAAACCTGAAAACGAAATTGTACAACTAGTGCGTGTTACCAGTGATGACTTACGGATATGAGACGTGATCCTTCACTGCTGGCCGTATGAGGTCAAGGTCACTCAGCGAGCTATTGAGAGGGCTATGCTTGGGGTTTCTCTGCGTGTTAAACTTAGAAATGAGTATATCCGCAATAGAACCAGAGTAACAGACATAGCCCAACTGATTAGTAAGCTGAAGTGGCAGTGGGCCGACCATATAGCTCGACGAACCGACAACCGATGGGGAAGAAAGGTCCTTGAGTGGCAGCCTCGTACCGGTAGGTGAAGTGGAGGGCGACCCCCCACGAGATGGAGTGACGACCTGGTGAGACATGCAGGAAGTCGATGGATGCAGGTGGTTCAGGATCGTGCTTTGTGGCATTCCTTGGGGGAAGCCTATGTTCAGCAGTGGACTTATGAAAGGCTGTAATGATAACTCTATCGCCTCGTTTACTTAGGTGGGACGGAAATCTCCACTCTTTCGTGCTCTAAAACACGTAATGATATACAGTTTCTTCAATTTTTAATCATGTTTACAGGCAAACGTAGTGGGGGAACGATGCGACACGTGCGCATTTGGACATTACGGACTTAACGCGGAACTGACGGCTGGCTGCCGTCCATGCTACTGCTCGCACGTAACCGACTCCTGCACGGCTGAGCGCGAGCCAACGCGCGACGTAAGTTCTCTATGCTTGATGATAATAAAAATATAATAATAATAATGACGTATATTTTCTTACCACAAACAAAGTCAGATTTATAGAATTATGAGTAACAGCTAATATAACATAACATAATATTACAACTTTGGTTATGGATCGCTGGCGCCTATGGAGAGTATAATACCTGTATTACAGGTGACCAGGTCTCCACCTCTACTTGAATACTATTAGTGTTTATACAACAGATTAGGACTACATAATCTCTTATATTTACGCGAACACTACACATTGAATAAAACTACTTTTACGTTACGTTACGTTATCGCGTTTAATTCGCGAGAATTTTTGGTTTATCAAATCTAATGTAATGGCGGGGGCCATCTAGGATATAATCACAAACTGCAGACTTCCCGGAACGGCAGAGTGTGATCACAAATTCTCGCGAAAGAACATCGATTCCGGCCAAGGTTGATACGTGAGGCTATTGAAATTAAAAAAACATCCTAATTTCAATAGAGAGGGAGGCTGGGTACTACCACCTGCAAGGGATCCTGTGATTAATAAAATTTAAACTAAACGCCACTGCAAGACTTCAAGACAGTAAATTCATTCTGCGTAGATCGGACCAAAATTAATAATTAAAAAAGCTGAAGGTACTCCGGGTTAACTCTGACATCGGGACGTCAACCACCTCAGTCCCCCGCCAGAAACGTAGAGAATTAATAAAAATAAGTTAATTAAACGCGATAAAATCCGTAAAAGTAGTTTTATTCAGATTAGGACTAATTCTATAGTTACACATTTGTCATCTTTATAATAATTCAAAATAAACATAGAGAAAACTTAAAGAAAAGTGTGTGTGAGAGAGAGTGTATGTATAGGTATGTTTTATTATATTGCATACTTTAAGGGAAAGCGCAAGGTATGTTCTACTATCGGCTAAAAATTAAGATTCCAACGTTTTATCGAATAAAATCGTACCTAGCAATCATATTATACATATAAATGATATAAAAAGCACATTGTTAGAAAGATAAATGTTTGTTGAACTTATTAATTTTTTTTAAACCCATTAATTGCTATTTTTAATTAAAAAAATGAGTTTTAGTGGCTTATGGTGTGAATTTATATCATGACCCCAAGGCTTGTAAACACGATAACTTTTGAAAATATCAATTGTTTAACTCTTCATCTATCATGTGGAAAGCCACTAAATGTAAATGGCAGTGTAATTTTGTTTTGTTTAGCTATAATTAATTTTTTTCGGCTCCAAAATGGCGAAAGTTTCGTTGATTTGGTAGCCGTGTATGTAAATTATTTCTGTAAATGGGGAGCTACAGCCACAGAGTAGTTTACTCACTCACTCAGTTGCTCAGTTCGCTTGTTGCAGCGGCTCAAAAAGATCGCTGTACAAATTCACAATATTCGAATAACCAAATTTCTTAAATACTTGAGTATAATAATAATAATAAGAGATTTTTTAAAACATTTTCATAATTTTTTTTGTAATGGGTGACATTTGCATGATTTTCGAGGGTGTTGAAGCCGATAGTGTTGTCGAAATGTAAATCCAAGATGGCGGATGCAATAGGCATCAATTTTTTCATCATGGGTGTCATTTTCATGGTTTTCGAGGGTTGAAGCCGATAGTGCTGTCGAAATGTATTTAAACTACTTTAAAAATTCCGTATAATCATGTTATACGTAATTTTTTTAATGCGCTTAAGGTATGCCCAATTGGATTTACCAATTTTTATTATATTAATATTATTTAATTTACACGAAAACCTCCAAAAAACTGTTGTTGCATAGGTTTGCTTTAAAAGCCAGTTTCGAACAATGTATTTGCATTCATATTGTTCGGAAAAACTATTAGTTTTTTTTACAGAATAAGAATGACAAACGAGCACACAGTCCATCTGATGTTAAGTGGATGCTGTGGCCCATAGACATCTACCACAGAATAAAGAACATCTACCTTTATCCTCTATTAGCGTTGTCACTCCTGAGGACTAAGATGGAATGCCTCGCTTCCAGTAAAAAGGGTCAAAGGGTCTCCGGTTCTCTACACTCACCATACAAAACCCATCAGCAAATTGTAATATTAGCTAATAATTTTAGATGTGTATTTGTAACTACTTACCGCATGAAGTGAGAGAATCCTTCACCCCAATAAGGACTAATAATCTTAAGCTCACCAGATGTCGCTAGTTGGGACTAAAGTGAACTTATTTCAACAGAACAGTGTCATCATCATTAAAAAGTTGCGTATTTATTATGTGAAGTGAAGTGTTGGATCTCTTACTCGAGTGCATCACGGTAGGCCTTCATTGTGTATGAAGGTTGCCTGCGTTAGTAACTGTAACCTGACAATAACGTTCTCTCAGCGTTGCAAATTGCAATACTACCGAAAAGTTATAAAGTTACAAACGCGATAAATTTCGTATTTTTTTTTTTGTCGAGTAAATACAAGAAATTAATTAAATTAATATACACCATATTAAGCTAAGTCCATATAATGCGAAAATTTATTGTATTATATTTACTTTTAACAATCTTAGCACGTCCTAACATCGTGCAATAAACTTCCTTGTCTCTCCCTAATATATCCTTTTTGCTCTCATCCTAATAATGTTACTTTTTATGCGTGAACCCCACATTAATATAGATTATAAATATTATAATATATTTAGAATATCGGTTATGGAAAACTAGCTATCGTAGTTGAGTAAGAATTATGTACCAACGACTCAAAATGATTAAACTTCCGTTATATTTTCGAGGAAAGATGGTGCTACCTCTTGGCGACGCTTGGCTTATCAGCGACTTGGAAGCAAAGGAGACGTACGAGCCCTCTGTTGATGATCAGGGAAAACCATTCCTGATTAGTTATGAGGTAAGGTTTTATTTAATATAAATAAAAAATCTTAAAACCCTTCCATAACTCTCGCAGAACGAGAGTTATGGAGTCGTTGGTCCGCCAATGTGATCCTCATGAACTTCACATGTCCTCGCAGTATAATAATTTAATAATTTAATAATGTCCTCTAGACGGAATTCCGATCACGGCGGCCAATCTCAACGAAGACTAGCCAAATAAGAGCTTCGAAATATATTATTTCTCAGACATGTAAGGTTTTCCTTCACTGCCAAGTACGTGGTAAATTAGAAACAATTAACAATTTAATTGGTTCGCTCGCGCGCTATGAGATTTATGGCGCGCTCAGCGCCTGAACTCCTACGGTTCTAAAACTAAAATACCGTTGCCTCAATTTCATTAGAAATACGTTGTTCGTTTTGTAACAAAATATTTGTAGGACATGCTTTAAGTTACTAATGCCTAAATACTCAAACGCAGCTCGATTTTAAGATGCCGTTAAGTCTCGTGTTGTGTCTATCACTAAGACATTTCCCTAACCAAATAACTTTGAGCATGCAGTGCACTCTGCGTACTCTGCGTCTCACTTTGCGTCGCACTCTGCGTACGCACATTTATCATAGAATTCACACAATTTTTGGAATTAATTTTAATTAAAAAATAAAAGCGAACTTTAAACATTAAATAAAACGTGAATAATATAGATTTTTAAATTATCTATCCATTAGTGTAATCCTCAAATGATTAGAGCGTTGCCTTTAGCAACAGATGCATGTAATCAATAATTTTAGTCATTTTTTAAAATTAGATTTTAAATGTATTGATAACACATAAAACAAATTGGAACGTGGAATGTGATAATAGTGTGGCCGTAGGAAGGAAAAGGGGAAATCTCCCGCCGGGCAAGGTGTTCTGCCCGGGGAGCGGCCAACGCTCCGATTGGTAGTTCGGGGCTATTCTATATATGCTGCTTTTAATTTCGGAACTTTGTTAGTGCGATTTAGGCTTCGATGTGTTTTGCTTGTGGCGCGACGACAGCGCCGTCACATCACCCCCCTGCTCAGACCGGAGGTCAATAGTGCAGTCCTATTGCCGGTGCGTCCTTAATGCCGGTGGAAAATACCTGCTGTGTGCGTAAGGGCAAGTGGTGCCGGTGCGAACGATACGCCAGTGTGTAATGCATGCCGTACTACGCACTTGCAAGTAATACTGGTGAGAACGACGAGCCGGAGCAAGTGCCAGGGATTGCCTTGTAGTGCGGTGAGCCGAGAAGAAGGCAACAAATCTGCGAGAGTGCCGTGAAGCAGAGGCGAGCAGTAAGGCTCAGAGCCGTGCCAAACACTGTAGCGCAGAGAGTAGCTTGAAGGAACAGAAAGCACTATTATTCCAGTGCTGCGATGAACCTTTATAAAGCTAGATGGCTTGCAGAATGCGAAGACTGCAGACAGCAGCAGATATTCTGCTCGGGAGCGAATGAATGGGGTACTTGAGAACGATGACGAAGGTTTTGAAGTTGTAGTATCCGAAGGTTGTTGGTTGCGTGTTCATATCACGTCGATTGGTCACCACTGTGGCGGGTGGAAGGAAAAGGGGAAATCTCCCGCCGGGCAAGGTGTTCTGCCCGGGGAGCGGCCAACGCTCCGATTGGTAGTTCGGAGCTATTCTATATAATATGCTGCTTTTAACTTCGGAACTTTGTTAGTGCGATTTAGGCTTCGATGTGTTTTACTTGTGGCGCGACGACAGCGCCGCCACAATAGGATATAAAACATTAATAATGTGCTTTTAGATGTAGTTTATTTCTCATTACTAATGAGATAATAGTCTCTGAATAACGAAGAAAAACGCACTATCGCAAGGTTTTGGTCGGAGACAAAAATATTGTGACACCACGAGTTTTAAAGACATTTTAAAATCGAGTAGCGTTTGTGTACATGGTCATAAAATAGTAATTTTAACACTTTTTAATATTTTTACAGATAGAAGGCTGGGAGAATTACTATTGGCTAACAAACACTTTCAACGGCGAACAGCTCTCAGCATACGGTGGTGAAGTCAGAGCAACTTTATTTTGGGGTGTCGCCCGAGGGGATACTGGGGGTAGTCCAACAGTTGGTCCGGATGTCATACTAGTTTCTTCAGGTAAATATTCGCTCATGATCTCTTATCCCGTCAGATATTGTACTACCGTGATAGCTTGGGGCTACCTTTGCTCGGTGTTTCCACTTGCTTACATGGAATATTTCTATTATAACGGTAACGATTGATAACTTGGGCGTGAAAGATACATCGTAGGTTTGTTTCGCTTTGATATTATGTTATAGGTTTTGAGATTGCGAGTTTTCGTCAGATTTCCCGATCCGACTATTCCCGGCTGAACGTCCGGCCGTATGTGTGTATGTGGGTGTGTATGTGTGTGTGTGTGTGTGTATGTATGTAAATAAAGTTTTTTGGACGATATCTTTAGAATGAATTAACCGATCGAGATGGCGTTTGAAAGTGTTCATTGATACTTCGAGCTGATTAGATTTTCAAGTCAATCGGTGGAGCCGTTTTTAAGATTATCAAAAAATAAAAACCAAAGAAACAAAGGAAGTTCCAGGGATAGCCTGCAGGGTCAACCGATTTTCAGTTTTTTTTTATAAAGTAAGGTAAATAACTAAAGGCCATCCGACACGACCGAGAAAGATCAGGTGCAGAACTAACGCCTTTACGTGCAAGGCACGGGTGTGGAACACTACCAACTGCCTGACTCCGGGCTGTTACTGAAAATTACTTGACAGAAACATGTAATAACTCGTTCTGGCTCTCACTCACAAACACAATAACTCATTCTCTCTTCTATATAGTTCAAATCCAATATATTATAAAAATTGTAATTTAATCGATAAACCTAAATCTAACACTTACTGATATTTGCAGTGTTGTAATACCAAATTCATGTATTTTGAATTAGTTTAGTCGTTAATTGTGCGTACACGAGTTTCGATATTTTCATGTATTTATTTATTTTATATTTAATAATTATATGTGTTGTAATATATAGGACAAAAGTGGAAACCCTGAAGAAAACCAAAGGGAACCGTAACAAAATTCTGATCTGAGCGCGACTTGTAACATAAAATCTAATCTATCTGATAGTCTACAGCCATCTAGTGGGGGGACGCCCCACACTTCGCTTGCCGGTACGAGGCTGCCACTCGAGAACTTTTCTTCCCCATTGGTTGTCGGTTCTTTGAGCTATATGTCCGGCCCATTGCCACTTCAGCCTACTAATCCGTTGGGCTATGTCGGTTACTCTAGTTCTACTGCGTATATCCTCGTTTTTAAGTCTATCACGCAGAGAAACCCCGAGCATAGCCCTCTCCATAACTCGCTCGACTTTGAGTTTCCTCATACGGCCAGAATTAGTTTTTTTATTTAAAAAAGAACGTTACCCCCACACTAGGATTTTCTCCTGTATCGTGGAGGCAGTTTACAAACACAAATTGCACAAGGACAAACATCCAGACCCGGAACAATTACTTGTAGATCATACAATTACTTGTTCCGTGCGGGATTCGAACCCGCGGCCCCCAGCGCAACAACTCATTGCTTAGCCACTGCGCCACGGAGCCGTAAATATATATAATGATGTTACATAATGATGATATAAATATAATATATGTATATATTATATCATCATTATGTAACATCATGTCACCTACAATATAGTAGGTATGTCAAAGTAATTGAGACTTGTATTTCAGATGGTACGCGGTTGACTTATAGCAACACCAGTCATGAGATGCCTGGCCAACTTGAGTTGGTCGTATCCTTGCTGGAGGGTAGCTGGTACTCAGACCTGGGTGATATGGCCAGTCGCAGTCAGTTGCTTGATGTGCTGAGCGACGTGCGCGCTCTTATGTTGCGAGCGTATTTTCACAACGACCAGGATGAGGTCAGTACGAGGTTATTTTTATAAAACTCTCGAAGACATTTCTTCGGATTAATCAAGGGATTGTTCCTTTAATTTTTGATAATATAAGTAATTGCCATGGTTTTTTTTATCTATTTTTTATTGACTAAAAATCGTTTTTTTTTTGTGTACAAACGTTGTTAGAAAATCCATCACCCCCTTTTTTTGTGGATGTTTTAAGAAGCAATCATACGAAATGTCAAAAAATCTTATTCTATAGTAATAGGAATAACAAACCGGAGACGGAGATGATGAATACGTTCAAATCTTACTCTTAAAAATATCAAGTCTTACTTCTAACTTATCAAGGCTTAAATATGATGATGTTACGGGCGAATATGTAAGTTTTTGCCTCATCCAGGTCCGGCTGGAGAGTGTGGAGGTGCGTGGAGCTGGCAGCGGAGTCCGGGAGCGGTGTTCATGTCCCACGGGCTACGAGGGCGCGCACTGCCAGCGCTGTGCCTGGACTCACGCGCGGCTGCAGCGAGCCCCTGGGACGACCCCATCCTTCGAATGTGTACCCTGCCCGTGTAACATGCACGCTAGCTGTCGCACAGGTAAACATATAGAAAAGCTTTCATTACCATAAAAATATACACTTATTTTTGGAGTTTGCTCCTTAATCGTTTTCATACGGCCCCGTGGCGCAGTTGCTTAGCAATGAGTTACAACGTTGGGGGCCGCGGGTTCGAATCCCGCACGGATCAAGTATTTGTATGGCCTACAAATAATTGTTCCGGGTCTGGATGTTTGTTCTTGTGTAATTTATGTTTGTAAACAGCCTCTGCGATGCAGGAGAAAATCCTAGTGTGGAGGTAACGTTTTTTTAGAACAAAAAGAATTTAAAAAAAAACATATATCCCGCGGTAGACTAAGTAGATAAAAGCTCAAGGTCACTTAGAGAGCTATGGAGAGGGCTCTGCTCGGGGTTTTTCTGCGTGATAGACTTAGAAATGAGTATATCCATAGTAGAACTCGAGTAACCGACATAGCCCAACGGTGTAATAAGCTAAAATGGCAATAGGCCGACCATATTGCTCGAAGAACCGACAGCCGAGAGGGAAGAAAGGTACTTGAGTGGTCACTTCGTACCGGTAAGCGAATTGTAGAGCTACCTACTAAATGAAGTGATGACGTGGTAAGATATGTAGGAAGTCGATGGATGTAGGTGGGTCGGAAGCGTGCTTTGTGGCATTCCTTGCGGGAGGCCTATGTTCAGCAGTGGTCTTGTGAAGGGCTGTAATTATGATAATGATAATTATTATGGTTCTACCACGTATAAGTTCAGTATATCCTACATGTCAGCCCATTCCATGCCAGCCTCACAGTCCATTCATCTTTTCTTAGTCCTCTCTCTACTCTTATATACAATCACTTCAATATATAAAGCTAAGCTAAGGGCCAAAAAAGAAAATTACAAATACTGGAACCAATGGGTGATGCGTGTGCTCGATGATGATGAGTGATGAAATGACTAAAATAACTTGGGATAAGGACAGTATGAAAAAAATTGCACTTGTTAATGATTCGACTACAGCGCCACCAATCGGATACTAGCAAACCAATGAATCATCGTCTCGATAAAATAGATAATATATTGTGTGTATATAACCTAACTCTTACTAACAGGCGCACCAAAAATTATACAGGGTTATTTCTCAAAAAGTGACCAAATTTTAAACTTAAGTTGAAATATATAAATAATGATATAACCATTATTGCAGTTTTTGAAAATACGAATTGTTAAGTCTTAAGAAAATTAGCCCAAATTGAATGTGATCTATGGGCAAAAACGTTTTTGCCTATTGATCGACCTTTACAAATGTGTGCTTGCGCAGTAAAATCAGTTAAAATAATCCATTACCACGCATTTTGAATTTAAAAGATAAAAAGGGCAGAATGCTTGAGATTTTTTTTAATTAAGTTTTCTTTACCATTCATCATCATCATCATCATTACAGCCCTTCACAAGTCCACTGCTGAACATAGGCCTCCCCCAAAGAATGCCACAAAGCACGGTCCTGAGCCACCTGCATCCATCGACTTCCTGCATGTCTTACCAGGTCGTCACTCCATCTCGTGGGGGGACGCCCTACACTTCGCCTACCGGTACGAGGCTGCCACTCGAGAACCTTTCTTCCCCATCGGTTGTCGGTTCTTCGAGCTATATGGCCGGCCCACTGCCACTTCAGCTTACTAATCCGTTGGGCTATGTCGGTCACTCTGGTTCTACTGCGGATATCCTCATTCCTAAGTTTATCACGCAGAGAAACTCCGAGCATAGCCCTCTCCATAGCTCGCTGAGCGACCTTGAGCTTCCTCATACGGCCAGCAGTGAAGGACCACGTCTCAGTTCCGTAAGTCATCACTGGCAACACGCACTGGTTGTACAATTTCGTTTTAAGGTTTTGAGGTATGTCTGACGAGAAGATGTGTCGTAGCTTCCCGAACGCTGCCCAGCCGAGTTGAATCCGTCGATTGACCTCTCGGTCGAAGTTGGACTTACCTAGTCGGACTATTTGTCCCAGGTAAACATACTCGTCAACAACTTCGAGCTTAGTGCTCCCAACAACTACCGGCATAGGTGTGACATGGACATTAAACATGATCTTTGTTTTGTCCATGTTCATCTTAAGACCTATCCGTTGGGAAACACTATTGAGGTCATTGAGCATAGTGCTTAGGTCCTCCAGCGATTCTGCCATAAGGACTATATCGTCGGCAAATCGAAGGTGAGTGATGTACTCGCCATTGATGTTGATACCGTATCCTTTCCAGTCCAGAAGCTTGAAAACGTCTTCCAATGCAGCGGTGAAGAGTTTCGGGGATATGACGTCACCCTGTCTTACACCTCTCTGCAATTGGATAGGTTTCGTATTCTGGTTCTGTACTCGGATAGCCATCGTAGCCCTACTGTACAAGCACTTCAACACTTCGATATACCGACAGTCAACTTGGCACCGCTGAAGGGACTGCAGCACCGCCCAAATTTCGACGGAATCAAAGGCTTTCTCATAGTCCACATACGCCAGACATAGTGGCAAATTGTACTCTTCGGACTTCTGAACAACTTGCCGAAGGGTATGTATGTGGTCTATGGTGCTAAAGCCCTTTCGGAAACCGGCTTGTTCGGGAGGCTGGAAGTCGTCAAGTCTGCGCGCGAGACGATTCATAATGACTCTCGAAAACAGCACGTAGACGCGGCTCAGAAGGGAAATCGGTCTGTAGTTCTTCAAGAGAGCGTTGTCACCTTTCCTGAAGAACAAGACCACCGCACTTCTGCTCCACGCCTCCGGTGTAATGCCACCATGGAGGACAGAATTAAAGAGCTTCTGAAGGACTTCAAGTACCGGTCTTCCACCCGCTTTCAGAAGCTCCGCTGTAATTCCATCCTCGCCTGGGGCCTTACCGTTTTTAAGGTGCTGGAGAGCCATCCTAATCTCGCTCAGACTGACATCCGGGATATCTTCGGAATAGTGTCGGATGAGACTCGCTCTTGGATCGTTACTCACACTTGCGTGTGGCTCCAACGATGATGTGTACAGCTGCCCATAGAACCTCTCAATCTCACTCAAAATCTCAGGTGTCCCGGAAACGATGCTGCCACATTCTGTCTTCAGCTTTGACAGTTGGCTCTTTCTGGCAGACAGATCTCTGTCAAAGACTTTGGAGCCTTGGTTCCGCTCGATCGCTTCTTCAATACGAGCTGTATTGAAGTTGCGTAAGTCCCGCCGTATGCATTTGGAGATCTGTCTGTTCAGATACCTGTATTCTGTCAAGTCTGTTGAAGAATGTAGCTTCATCTCCCGTCTAACAGCCATGAGATTAAGAGTGTGATCGGAGAGTTTTTGTGTTCTTCTGCGGCGGGTCTTGCAGAACTTAGCTCCGACCGCATGGACAGTTTCCACGAGCTTGTCATTCATATCGTCCACTTCATTGCAGTCTTCCAGGCACTGAAAACGGTTTTGTAACTCGAGCTGAAAGGTTTCGGGACTTTGGAACAGAGCACGAGGGGGACGGAGCGTTGACTTCATTAGACGAGACCTCTCCAACTTAACGTTTAGGTTCAGTGTGCCTCTAACCATTCGGTGATCGCTACCAGTTTTCACCCTCGCGATCACGGAGACATCACTGAACAGTTGTCGTCTGGTCGTCATAATGAAGTCCATCTCATTTTTTGTGGAACCGTCGGGGCTTGACCAGGTCCACTTCCTGTGGGGCCGCTTCTGGAAGAAAGAGTTCATCATAAAGAGTCCCTCTTTCTCCATGAAGTCGGCCAGCTGCTGGCCCCTTGGGTTCCGTTGCCCTATTCCAAATTTCCCTACTTTCAGCTCACCGTTCTCTCTTGTGCCTAGTTTTGCATTGAAATCTCCCATTAACACCGTATATTGGGTTTTGGAGGAATGCATGGCTCTAGAGATATCCTCATACATTTCCTCCACCTCCTCATCGGGGTGTGCCGAGGTTGGTGCGTAAACCTGTATGACCTTCAGCGAATACCGTTTGGTGATTCTGAGTATAAGGTACGCAACCCTCGTCGACACACTCCCGATCTTTACAACGTTGTTAACGAGAGACTTGTGGACGATAAATCCGACACCTCCTTGGGACAGATGGTCGCCCTCCCGGTGATAGAGCAAGTTGCCGGATTCGAGGATTACCGTGTCCTCCCCCTCTCTTCGGACTTCGGATAATCCTATAATATGCCAGCGCAACTTGTCTATCTCTTCTTACAGCTCCACGATCTTCTCGTCAGTCCTCAGGGTGCGTGCGTTGTACGTTGCCAGGTCGAGTCGTCTAAGGTGGCAAGCGAACCTCCACCGGAGATTCTTAGCACCCCCTGCCCCGCCGTTACCATGGTCGCCACCGTAGCCAGGAATAGCGGGGCCGCCGGGGACTGGGGGCCGTTTCTTTGTTACTGTCTTCATAGGGGGGTATTTGCCATAGTTGCCACGCTTGGCGAGCGGGTTGGCAACCGCAGTTTTTTTATTGTAATTTGGCTATTATCAGGAAGATGCTGCTGCCCATCTCCTGCCTGTTTCCCTTTGTCGCCTTTTACGACACCCACGGGAGGATATGGGGTAGTGGATATTCTTGACCGCCACTACACGGCACATCTTTACCATTTGCCTATATTAATTATTCTGAGCCTTCTCTGCCAATTTGGCATATTATTGCAAAATAACCCTGTAAACATATTATATAAAAGATAACAACATATAATAATATTTATCTTAATACATTTGAAATGTTTAAATTTGGAAGTCACTATAGATTGTAATGGTACCCATTTCAATTCACTTACAGTGGACGGCCCCTGCGGTCCGTGTCGGCACAACACTACAGGGCTTCATTGTGAACGATGCTTGCCTGGACATTACGGCAACCCTGTACAGGTATATATACATCAATTTGTACGGTAGGTAAACTGCGAGCCGATCAAGTTAGCTATCCAAAATGTAATTTAATATATTGTATGGAAGTTTAAGAATGTTATCAATATAAAGGTCTTATAAAGTAAGAAAATCCACCACCTCATTTTGTTCCGTAAGTGACGCTTACGGGAAATACCAAAGAAATATTGTGGCCTTACGCCATTATATAGCAACTAGTATTTGACATGGTACTTTCAGTATTTCTTACTTGTTTTCCTCAACTGTCATAATCTTGTTTTAATTTAAGTGTGTGATTGATTACACATCTTTTCATTTTTTCATTTTGGTAAAAAAAGTTTTTTTGCGTAATAGGTTGTCTGGAAGAAATTGCAATATGAGCGATAAAACTGCTTTACTAATATTTATGTAATGAAGAATACATTGATTGAAAGATTGTATTGATTGAATAAGTATTAAAATGTTCAGGGTTCATGCAAGCCCTGCGCGTGTCCTCTCTACCTGCCTTCCAACAACTTCAGTCCGAACTGCGCGCTCGCGTCCGCTGAAGGTGACGACTTTGTTTGCACACAGTGTCCCGACGGGTACACAGGCGATCACTGTGAACTGTAAGTTAACTTTTATATTCTCTCATCTTCAATTTTATCGCATAAACGTTTCTTCATGCACGGATCTGCAAGGTCTAGTAATTAATACTATTTGCTTTATAGCAGGAAGGCTTAAGATAATTGAAAACAATCATCCATCCATTCATTACAACTTATAAGTTACTGAGTGACTAGTGCTGTAGTTACTAAGTACCTACTACCCAAAAATTCGGGAATTAAAAAGGTAAAATTAAACGCGATAAAATCTGTTAAGTGAATGGTAAAGTCGGCAAGGGACGCCCTAGACAAAAGTTTATCGACTGAAACCCCTTATTGTAGAAGGACAAGGGTAAGACTACCGACGAGTTAACCGACGAGCTTATATGCGGTATATTACACATGTAAAGAAGGCGAGAGAGGTATGTCAGGATCAATCCAAATGGACGTCCGTAATCTCTGCCTACCCCTCTGATTAACTGACAAGCGTGAATGCGAAGCGTCAGTAGCCTAATGGCAGGGCGCGGACCGCGAACTCGAAAGGTCGTGGGTTCGAATCCGCCATTCGACTACAGTCGTGAACAACTTCTAACACAAGCATTTTAAACATAGCAGAAGTGTTTTAAGGGAATATTAGTAACGTTTAATATCATTATTATTATTTAAAAAATGATTATGATTATGATATTAAAATTCGTAAAATTAGTTTTATTAAAGATTTTTTAAAAAATAGCTAAGATCCGCGTAATATTAATTATTAATTTAATGGATTTCCGCGAAGTAACGCCTAGTTCTAATAATTAAATTAGTTTCACTTAAGTACATTATATGTTTTGTCCAGATGCGATGTGGGCTATTGGGGCTCACCAACCACACCAGGTGGATCGTGCCAGCCATGTGCTTGCGGCGGGGCGCCGTGTCGTGCTGACACCGGCCGATGCTTGGTGTGCCCGCCGCACACCGAGGGTGCGCGGTGTGACCAGTGTCAGGTAAGTTTGCAGTTACCGCTTTTTATGTCGTACCTTCTCGCTCATTTAAAACTATTATCGACCTTATCATTGTCTATTAAGGGAGCAGTTTGATTTAGGGCGTAAAAATGCAGAGCAACAACAAACAAAATGATAAGTGTAAATCTGTAGATTTGTGGCTAAGGGGATTATCAGATGTTGCTGCCCATTCCTTGCTTCCCTTTGTCGCTTCTTACGATACCCCTCTCGGATTCGAAGATAACATTCTACGACCACCCACATCTATTTTTATTTCTTATTTATATGGCGGCGGAATCTTTAAAGTTGCGATATCATTTTAGTGAAGGCATCCACAACTTTTTCTGCCATCAAGGCAACGCGACTTAAAAATGAGGCGAAATATTTGACAAATTTCATAGAACATGGATTTCCGCGAAGTTAAATTGTTAGAAAAATATAAAAGTTAATGTTTCTTTCCTAATAAATACCTAATTAATAAAATATTACTCATATTTTAATATTAGCTGTATTTTATTAATTATTTATTAGTTATGTTTTATTAAATAGGTTAAAAATGGTTTCACCAAACTACGGATTCTCATACAAGGAAAAGAATTTAAAAAAGAGAGTTAAAAATGTGCAAAAAATGAAAGTGCAACCACTGAGGCATTGATTTTTATATATAGGTACATAAACTAGAAACCGAAAAATATATATAAAAGAAACGCAGCTGTTCACTTACGTCGAGACCGTGTAACAAATAACTTCACCTTAGTCCGAACTAGTGACATCTGGTTTCCGGAGGCTATCATTGTCCGACCTAGATGTATTTGTGTGCGTGTACAAAATTGTAGGAGTTAGAGTGCTTCAAAATTTTTCAGTGTAGCATTACGTCCGCATTTTTTACGTACGTGGATGTTAAAACAATACAATATGAACAAAGTCACGTGACACGTTTTTCAAGATTGAACAGCCAATTCATCACGGAAATTAACGTTAGAAAGAAAGAAACATTTTTATTTGAAGCTACGTTATAAATAACACCACATAAATATATTATATTACATCAACATTAATGCAGCAACAATTCAACAAGGCATCCGACGCAGTATTGTGCCGCGGTGTAATAACCACAGCGCTGATATTCTTCCGGTGCCATTTAACGTAACTTTTACGCATGTAAAAAATAGATTAAAATGTATAATAGTGGCAGGCTAGCAGGTTTAAATTTCTACTTCATTTTAGTGTAGCAATAACCTCTTTAGCCAAGTCGATATAATGCCTTAGTGTCGAGACCACTTCCTTGCCCTAAAATCCTGTGCCCAGCAGTGGGACGTATATAGACTGTAATTTTTTACTTTAACACTTTGTCTACTAAAAAGTTTCGTAGTCTTGCCTTAAATAATGATGTGTTGATATTCCTCAAATACTTACACAGGTGACAACGCATTTGCATTTTGACTCTTTATTGAGGATAGATGTAGATGACTATGAGCCACAGCAACCACTTACCATCAGGTGGACTGTGTGCTCGTTTGTCATCCTAGCCTATAAAAAAAGGCTTCTACATTTATTTGATACTATCCCAAATTGAATGTGATTTATGGGCAATAAAGTTATGGCCTACCGATCCATGGATATTTACTCCGTGTAGCGATCGACCTTTACCATATTTACCAATGTGTGCGTGCGCAGTAAAATGAGTTAAAATAATGCATTACCATGCATTTAGAATTTAAAAGATAAAAAGGACAGAATATTTGAGATATTTTTTAATTAATTTTTCTTCACCATTTGCCTATATTACTTATTCTGAAATATTATTATTCGTAAAAGGCGAAAGTGGGAGGCGGGCAGGAGATGGGCAGCAGCATCTTCCTGATACCAGCAATATCCCAATAAAAAAAACTGCGGTTGCCAACCCGCTCACCAAGCGTGGCAACTATGGCAATATACCCCCCCCCCCCCCCAATGAAAAAAGTTACGAAAAGACGGCCCCCAGTCCCTGGCGGCCCCGCTATTCCTGGCTACGGTGGCGACCATGGTAACGGCGGGGCAGTAGGTGCTAAGAATCTCCGGTGGAGGTTCGGTTGCCACCTACGACGACTTGACCTGGCAACTTATAACACACGCACCCTGAGGACTGACGAAAAGACCCTACAGCTGGAAGAAGAGATAGATAAGTTGCGCTGGAATATTATAGGATTATCCGAGGTCCGAAGAGAGGGGGAGGACACGGTATTCCTTGAATCCGGCAACTTGTTCTATCACTGGGAGGGCGACCATCTCTCCCAAGGAGGTGTCGGATTTATCGTCCACAAGTCTCTCGTTAACAATGTTGTAAAGATTGGGAGTGTGTCGACGAGGGTTGCGTACCTTATACTCAGAATTACCAAACGGTATTCGCTGAAGGTCATACAGGTTTACGCACCAACCCCGGCACACCCCGATGAGGAGGTGAAGAAAATATATGAGGATATCTCTAGAGCCATGCATTCCTCCAAAACCCACTATACATTGTTAATGGGAGAATTCAATGCAAAACTAGGCACAAGAGAGAACGGTGAGCTGAAAGTAGGGAAATTCGGAATAGGGCAACGGAACCCAAGGGGCCAGCAACTGGCCGACTTTATGGAGAAAGACGGACTCTTTATGATGAACTCTTTCTTCCTGAAGCGGCCCCACTAGAAGTGGACCTGGTCGAGCTCCGACCGTTCGACAAAAAATGAGATTGATTTCATTATGACACACATTAGAGGCACACTGAACCTAAAGGTTAATTTGGAGAGGTCTCGTCTTATGAAGTCCGTCCGCTCCGTCCCTCTCGTTCTCTAATAAAAAGTCCGGAAACCTCTCAGCTCAAGTTACAAAACCGTTTTCAGTGCCTGGAAGAGTGCAATGAAGTGGACAATATAAATGATAAGCTCATGGAAACTGTCCATGCGGTCGGAGCAAAGTTCTGCAAGACCCACCGCAGAAGAACACAAAAACTCTCCGATCACACTCTTAATCTCATGGCTATTAGACGGGAGATGAAGCAACATTCTTCAACAGATTTGACAGCATACAGGCAACTGAACAGACAGATCTCCAAATGCATGCGGCGGGACTTACGCAACTTCAATACAGCTTGTATTGAAGAAGCGATCGAGCGGAACCAAGCTTCCAAAGTCGTTGCACGAGATCTGTCTGCCAGAAAGAGCCAACTATCAAAGCTGAAGACCGAATGTGGCAGCATCGTTTCCGGGACATCTGAGATTTTGAATGAGATTGAGAGGTTCTATGGGCAGCTGAGAGTACAATCTGCCACTTTGCCTTGCGTGTGTGGACTATGAGAAAGCCTTTGATTCCGTCGAAATTTGAGCGGTGCTACAGTCCCTTCAGCGGTGCCAAGTATACTATCGATATATCGAAGTGCTGAAGTGTTTTTACAGTAGAGCTACGATGGCTATCTAAGTACAGCACCAGAGTACGAAACCTAATCAACTGCAGAGAGGTGTAAGACAGGGCAACGTTATATCCCCGAAACTCTTCATTGCTGCATTGGAATACGTTTTCAAGCTACTGGACTGGAAAGGATACGGTATTAACATGAATGGCGAGTACATCACTCACTTTCGATTTGCCGACGATATAGGTCTTATGGCAAAATTGCTGGAGGAGCTAAGCACTATGCTCAATGACCTCAATAGTGTCTACCAACGGATAGTTGTTAAGATGAACGTGGACAAAACAAAGATCATGTTTAATGTCCATGTCACACCTATGCCGGTAGTTGTTGGGAGCACTAAGCTCGAAGTTGTTGACGAGTATGTTTACCTGGGACAAATAGTCCGACTAGGTAAGTACAACTTCGACCGAAAGGTCAATCGACGGATTCAACTCGGTTGGGCAGCGTTCAGAAAATTACGGCACATCTTCTCGTCAAGTACACCTCAAAACTTGAAAACGAAACTGTACAACCAATGCGTGTTGCCAGTGATGACCTATGGAACTAAGAAGTGTTCCTTCACTGCTGGCCAGATGAGGAAGCTCAGGGTCGCTTAGCGAGCTATGGAGAGGGTTATGCTCGGAGTTTCTCTGCGTGATAAACTTAGGAACGAGGAGAATAGCCAGAGTGACCGACATAGAGCAACGGATTAGTAAGCTGAAGTGGCAATGGACTGGCCATATAGCTCGAAGAACCGACAACCGATGGGGAAAAAAGGTTCTCGATTGGCGGCCTCGTACCGGTGGACGAAGTGTAGGGCATCCCCCCGATATGCAGGAAGTCGATGGATGCAAGTGGCTCAGGACCGTGTTTTGTGGCATTCTTTGGGGGAGGCCTATGTTCAGCAGTGGACTTGTGAAGGGCTGTAATTATGATGATGATGACTTATTCTGAACCTTCTCTGCAAATTTGTCCGGTTACAGCCGGCCCCATACAGCAGGTACTGTTGCCTGTTAGTGCTATTTTTTCCCTAGGAATGTAAATGATCGGCAGTTTAGAACAAAAACTGTGTCACAGCTGTATATCGCGCGGGCACTGGCGCGGCAAAGTAGCTGACACGATAAATATGCCTCCCAAGGTGGTAGTTGTATTTCCATTTAAGTCAGTTTCTGTTTTCAATAAAATACGAAATAAAGTTACATATTTATCTGAAATCACTTTGACAAAGTGCGCAGATAATTAATAATGAGTGTTTTCTTAGTCACATTAAACAAAATAAGTGTTATATAGTAGAAAACAACGTTCTCAGTTTTAAAGAACTATGAGTGTTCTCGCCCGATTGCAGTTGAATAAATAAATGTGTTACGGAGAATTGACCGTAAATTAGTGCGTAAGGTATTAAGGCCACAGAGTCCCTCTAGTAATTTACATTTGGTGAATATATTATCATCCTTCATTGCTGTAATGTGAAGTATCTTTGTAGGAGGGGTACTGGTTCGGTGGCGAAGGGGAGGAGTGCGTGGCGTGCGCGTGCGGGCGGGGCGCGCTGTCGGGCGCGTGCGACGCGCGCACCGGACGATGCGCGTGCGCACACGGCTGGGCGGGCCGAACCTGCGACGTCTGTGCACAAGGATACGGCGGTCAGTCTACTCAAGTCCTCTTCTCTTACTAGTCAAGTCCTCAGACCTAAAAAGAAAAAAGCTCTTCTACTTGGCACGCACAGATTTTTCATCTTTCATCAAAATAATTTATTTTCATGTGTCAACCATTTCTATACGCGGTAACATCAGCGACGAGTACATCACTCACCTTCGATTTGCCGCCGATATAGTCCTTATGGCAGAATCACTGGAGGGCCTAAGCACTATGCTCAATGACCTCAATAGTACATCCCAACGGATTGGTCTTAAACATCGACAAAACAAAGATCATGTACAACGTAATGATTTCTCATGTTTACGCGAACACTACACATTTAAATAAAACTAATTTTACGGTAATAATTAATATACGCGATAAAATCCGTAAAATTAGTTTTATTTAAATCATGTACAACGTTCATGTCACACCTATGCCGGTAGTTGTTGGGAGCACTACGTTCGAAGTTGTTGACGAGTATGTTTACCTAGAACAAATAGTCCGACTAGGTAAGTCCAACTTCGACTGAGAGGCCAATCGACGGATTCAACTCAGCTGGGCAGCAATCGAGAGATGACGACACATCTTTTCGTCAGGTATATCTCAAAATTTGAAAACGAGATTGTAAAACCAGTGCCAGTGATGACTTACGATCTGAGAAGTGGTCCTTCGCGTTGCTGGCCGTATGAGGAAGCTCAAGGTCGCTCAGCGAGCTATGAAAAGGGCTATGCCCGGGGTTCCACTGCGTGATAAACTTAGAAATGAGGATATCTGCAGTAGAACCAGAGTGACCGACATAGCCCAACGGATTAATAAGCTGAAGTGGCAATGGGTCGGATAGCTCGAAGAACCGACAACCGATAGAGAAGCAAAGTTCTCGAGTGGCACCTTCATATTGGTAGGCAAATTGTGGGGCGGCCCCCAACTAGATGGAGTGGCGACTCGGTAAGATATGAAGGAAGTTGAAGAATGCAGGTGGCTCAGGACCGTGCCTTGTGCCTTTCAGGGAGGCTTCAGTTCAGTGGACTTGTGAAGGGCTGGGATGATGATGATGATTATACGTGGTAAAGCCTCGCTGCAGCTATATTAGTTGTAGTACGAATGGGTCGGCTTGAATTAGGTGGGATCACGCTTTCACACAATACCAGCGTAAAATAGCAACTTAATGTTGTGGTTTCGTGTGGTGAGTGTAAAGAACCGGAGATCCTTTTAACTGGGAACTAGGCACTCCATTTAGTTCTAGAGTCTATAGTCTATGGGTCACAGCATCTACTTACCATGAGTTGGACTGTGTGCTCGTTTGTCACCCTTATTCTATAAAAAAATAAAATTTAAGTGTTTGTCTATAATATAAAAATATCTGATTTTTAGTCTGACTTCGAGTTCAGGGGTGTATTTGCATGTGATAAAGCCATGAATAATCATAAGCAAAATTCTTGTCTGACTGTCTGTCTGTCCGGGGTAATCTTCAAATTGGAATGAAACTATTGGAATGAAACTGTACGCATGGATACAGAGCAATGGCAGGGATGATCTCAGCTATATTTTATTTGCTAAACTTGTTGAATTTCTTTTGTGAAATGGAAAAATTGTTAAAATTCATTCTTTAAAATTTTAATGACCGACCGAATGAAATATTGTGTCAAAACACCTTGTCAACGTAATAATATGAAGATGGGAACAGACGTGGCGGCGGGGTGTCCGGCGTGCCGGTGCGGAGTCGCAGCGTTGGACGGTACGTGCGAGCCTCGGTCCGGTGCTTGCGAGTGCGCGCCCGGTGCCTCACCGCCGCACTGCGACGTCTGCCTGCCCGCGCACTACGCGCTCAGTGACACCGGCTGCCTGGGTGAGTCACTTTGCATGGTCACATTAGTATTTTTCAGGTTGGAACTACATGTGGCTGGTGTATACAATTTAGATAATTATAATTCAAAATGTCAACCGTTTTTTTAACATTATGGGAAGTTAATTGAAATCTATCAATCTTACCAGTCTCGAACTCTAGCACAAACCCTTTTGATTTGAAAATCGAACAATTCATTTTCATATAACATAAACTAACTTATGTGATTTTAGATTTCTTTAACGTATCACGCATTCGCGCCAAACAGCTGACATTGGCGTTGGGTAATCTGTACAAAAAAGGAGTGGAATAATTTGACAACAATTGTCCTTCCATTCTATTACAATATGGGTATCTTCGAGGCAAGGTTTTTGTCTAACGAATTCAGTGCACTTTTCTTCCTTCAGCTGCATCGACACTTACCATCAGGTGTTATAGTAATCAAACATTGGCTTTTCTTAACTTATCATACTTTATACAGCACAGTAATTCATGAAAGGGAAATATCTAATACATAAAAATTAATATTTGTTTGTGGGTTCGTCTTCCACGTTCCTATTACCATTCATCTGGTTATAATGTAACTTTGGTGAGTAGTTATGAAGAACAAACGATCTGTAACAAAAATTAATATTTTAATGTGATTCTATACCATACATTCGCTTACGATGAAGCTCAGATGCGTTGTGGCGCGTGCATCCGCAGATGTTTCTTAAAAGAAAAGAGGCGTTGAAATCATTTTCGAGCACAGCTGGTTACAAAATACTGCGTTAAAAACTTACGACGTCTTAAATTTTTTTCTGAATTGCTGAAAGAGTAATTTACAAAACAAAAGTCCCGCTGGGTTTCTTGCTGGTTCTTCCCAGGACAGAGGTTTTTTTGCGAACCAGTGGTAAAAGTAAAAAATGACTTTCAATATGTATTATGAACCATAATTTATATTTAATAAAAATTATTCTATTCTATTCTACAATAAAAAACATTTCTTGAATATATTATGCTGCCGTTAAGGAAAGTTAATAAAGTAACACAAAAACATGATTTTTTCATACAATATGCAAAAACTAATATAATAAACCTTTAAACATATTAATCATACTCATGGTTATATAAGCTAAGATTTCGTATTCCCTTCATGGGAAAACATTACAAAAAAAAACCTGTGCAAACAAATAATCGTTTCGACGCAATCGTTCTAATTTCGAACCCAGACGTTACTAGCATTACATTATTCTGTTTCTATAAACATGGGTAACCTATTTTATTTGCTTTAAATGTAAGTATTGTTTGTATTTGCGACCTAATTATGTTAGGTTGAACCATGTTTCACTACATTTTCATTATATTTAGCAGTCGGTTTATTGTAATATGCAATATTCACGAGCTACAAAAATACATTATATTATATTGTTACAGATTAAATTAATTTTAAAACATAAAATGAATAGGCGAATAATTTTACATATCTAATGCAGATTGCGCTGAGGTCGATTTTGTTTTCCCATCATGTATCTCGCGTGTTAATAAGGACAAACATAATTAATAGAATCAGGTGTTACTTTGCAGAAATTCATTATAATGGGGTTGTTATAAACTAATTTGCTTAATTCCGCGTAAAGAAAGAAAATGATGTGTCCTGACCAGTTTTAAGGGGACCTCCCACCCTCCCTCAATCGCGCGCACTATACCCGTCGCCGTCAATCTCAGCACTACCATCCCCAGCACCACCACACTAGGCACGAAACAACACTCTCGAAAATACGACACGTGTTTCGCTTCTACACGAGGCATCATCAGGTGAAGTAGACTCTGCGGAGGCTGGCCGCTAAGAAAGAGTTTGGTGGTGCTGGGGATGATAGTGCTGAGATTGACGGCGACGGGTATAGTGCGCGCGATTGAGGGAGGGTGGAGGTAAAACTGGGCAGGACACATCATTTTCTTTCTTTACGCGGAATTAAGCAAATTAGTTTATAACAACCCCATTAAGGACAAACATGTTTACGCAAGTGATGCGAAAAGCTACTTTTGAGATAGTGACGTTTGAAGTTTGGATTAATAAACAATTTTAATGGTTCGCTTCGATTTGTTTGTAAGTTTGTTTATTTTTTACTGCAATTTTTGCTGGGATTCATTTTGCTATTTGGGAATAACATGTACTTACTTCGCACGGTAGAAACGATGTGGTTATGCAAGATATTGACATTTGAAGTTTAAATTGGATATACAATGTTAATCGTTCGCCTCGATTTGCTTGTAACCTTTCTTATCAACTGTACTTTTTAATGTAATCAATTTTACTATTTGAGAACACCATGTACTCTGCACGTTAGTAAGGATGTTGTAACTTAAAATTGATCCATAAAAAGCTACTTTTGAGATAATGAACTTTAAAGTTTGGAACCATGTACAAAGTTAAGTTATTAACATCTTGCATCGATGTGTTTCTTTATTTTATTTATTGTCGTCAAAATAAACTGAAAAAAGTACTTTATCGTCATTCTTAGTTTATTAAATAAAATAAATAACCTCATAGTGTATCGATTGAATTGCCGGTACATTTGCTAATACTGGTTATAAACTGTCTGTGTGTGTTCCACACAGTACCCAAGGCAATGAGGCAACTCCGTGCGGAACTAAGCGCTCTACAATTTACGTAATATGCAACGAGGATGGATTCGGTACGAGAGCTCGCGGACCCACCTCGTTGTGTGTCCGCCTGAGGACACGATGCCATTAGGTCGTATACTTACGTTAGTTCTGGCCACAAAACAGTAATTATTAAAAATAAGGAGTTATAGAAGGTGACAATTCGATCCGTTGAGAAAGTGTTGAAGATATTAAAATAAATCCTGAGTAAGGAGGGAGAAATGCTTTTTTTATTTGCGAATTAGGGTAAAAACGGGCACGTAGTCACTTATAGTAAGTGGATAATCCATAGACGACATAGTAAACAAAGTTAGTTTTTGAAAAAGATACAAAAAAAAAATAAGAAAACGATGCGTGAGTGTCGTGGAACATTCGGTTGGAACGAAGTTTCTTTTGTAGTATTTTTTTAAATACTAGTAATGCTATTAAACATTACCACTTCTGGTAAGCTTAAAATGCTTGTGTTAGAAGTGGTTCACGACAGTACTCGAATGGCGGATTCGAAACCTCGTCCTTGCGTGTTCGCGGTCCACGCCCAGCCATTAGGCTACTGACGCTTATATTGATAAACATATTATATTATTGACGAACTATTACAAATAAATGAATTACTAGCGTCTATTAAAATTAAGCGTCATTTTAAATATAATAATATTTTTTATGGCAAGATAAGTAAAAGTGCGATGGAGATGGATATTATTCCATCATCATAGTCAGAAGGGGTCGTGACGGAAAAATCTTACAGTTTTTCTCGCCTAGCCCGTATCCGCCAAATTCGTACCGTGCAATAAGGAACTTCGTTCCAATAATTGAAATACATAAAAAAGAATACCTATACTAAATCTAATAATTTAAAATTTTGTACAATCGACTTCAATATAAATTATTAAAAATATCTCAAAAACTATTATTGAGACCTTGATCGAATTTATATAGGACCACATGAGACACACCGGCTTTCGGTTCACCTAGAAAAAAGTTATGAGAAATTAGTAACTCCTCCTTCGGTAGCAAGTCAGTAGAAAAAGGAAAAAACGATTTTAAAGAACTAAAAAAAATAAAATGTTACACAGTGAATTCAGAAAACAAATTGTATTCAAGTGTACTAAAGCCTGAAACTATTATGTAGAAATTATTTTATTCTTTCTGGTTCTTCGAAGTCGGCTTTTACTTTTTATTAACCCCCTACGCAAAAGGGGTATTATAAGTTTGACCGCTGTGTGTATGTCTGTCAGTGTGTCTGTCTGTGGCACAATAGCTCTTAAGCGGGTGAACCGATTTGGGAGTGTTTTTCTACCGACTTCATAAAGGAGCTGGTACTCAATTCGACTGTATGTTTTTTTAAGTGTGTTACCTCACAACTTTTTACTGGGTGAACTGATTTCGATGATTCCTTTTTATTTGAAAGCTGGTGCTTCACATGTGGTCGCATATAAATTTGATCAAGGTCTGACTAATAGTTTTTGAGTTATTCTTAATAATTTATATTGAAGTCGATTGTACAAAATTTAAATTTTAAATTTAAAAGCAGGTTTTCTAGCGGTGGATCTTAGACATTTATAAAAATCGGTTGAGTCGTTTCGGGGTCATCAGCTGTTTTTGTTTCGGGGGTTTTAAAATTTTCAATTTAGGTTATTAAAAGTCAAATTTTTTAACCTTTTGAGTGGATTAAGTAAGTAAACACGAGCCACAAACTCAAATGTCGTTTAAAAGTTATATTTAAAAAAAAAATATTCCCCATTTTTTCCTGTATGTGGAACCTCATTTTAAAATATAGGTACTAATTAAAAAATATTATTGATATTATTAAAATCGGTTTAAAATTGAGTAAGATATTGAGTAACATACATATAAAAAAGTGATACACTGGCAGAATTACATACATACATATAATCACGCCTCTTTCCCGTAGGGGTAGGCAGAGACCACTACTTTCCACTTGCTACGATCCTTACATACTTGTTACGCTTCGTCCACTTTCATTATTCCCTTCATACATGCTCTTCGGTTTAGGGTACTCTTGACCTGGCCTTTTTTCAAGACGTCCCTGATTTGATCTAGAAACGTCCGCCCAGGTCTACCCCTTCCAACACTTTCATTCACACTCGCCTTATACACCTTTTTCGTCAATTGTTCTTCATCATTCTATCGACATGGCCAAACCATCTCAGCAAGCTGACAACCATCTGGCAGAATTGTAATTGATAGTAATCAAATGTAAAGGGTACAGTTCAAAACCTCTAATTAGCAGATGAGGTTTAAGACAAGTTGTCTATTTCTAAATCCGGCTATGTATTGATTTGCTAGATTTGTTAAGCTATAATTATAACTTTTAACAAAAAGTAAAAACTATGACATAGTAGAACCATGCCATAGCTATATTACCGGTATAGTTGTAGCACAAATGTAGAGAACCGGATACCCTTTTAACTGGAAATGAGGCATTCCATCTTATTCATCACGA